TTTTAAAAAAACAAAATAAAACAAAATAAAATCCACCCAAAAAGGTGATAATGACTGCAGAATGTCTCGGGGAGACTGGTATGAGCCTAAAGACCAAATTACCATAGTCAGAGAAAAAGGGCAGAAGGGGTGACAAGGGGAAGAGACCACACACACAAAGAGGAATCTCAAAACTGGAAAATGTTTAAGTGGGTGAAAGGTTTTGTTCATTACCTTAATTCACTTTTTCCATTGTTCTTGTACCCAAAAGTCATAGATTAATCATAAGGAAAGATAATGAGGCCCGTGGACTAATTAATTAAAAAAAAAAAAAAAGTTCCTTTTATTCCCAGGAAGCAGGAAGAGGAAAAAGGATGAACAGGGGTGAAGTGTGAAAATTCAGGCCAACGATCCATCTGGAAAAAATAATTCTCAGGACAGTGTCTTAGTTGAATAGAGGATGTAAAAACAATAAGCAAAAGCTAAATGCTTTTAAATCAGAGAACTATTTTATGGGGTAGTTCAGATATTATGAGAATGACAGCCAATCACTGGAGAAAGATTACACAAATAAATGGTGATTACACACACACACAAAAACAGGCCAAAAAAAAAAATAATAATAATAAAGCAACCAATTATTCACCCAATAGTTTGTTTCCAATCTTTTTCTTGACCCTTTCATACACTCACTGGGGTGGGGGACCACCTGACAGTTTCCAGTTATAAGATGACTCTGTGTGTACAACCTAAAATGGATGCCAAAGACTTGTGAGCTCTGTCTGCTTAGAGTTAGAACAGAAACAAAAACAAATCTGAAACAGACCTCAATACAAGAAAACAAGTCACCTTATCTAGTATAAAATAAACATTAGGATAACAAACTCCACAGGATTTTATTTTTTTAAATACACATTTTTGGACACAATATTATCTTGAGGTGTAAGTTCTTCCCCCTTATTGTGCCTTATTTTCTTGTGAAAATAAAGTTTGTTCTCTAGGGACGTTTTGTTCAGGGATAAAGTTTAGGAGAGTTCAGTGTTTGGCTGAAAATCCAGAGGCTCTGAAAACAAGGATTCCAGTGGTGAGGTAAATCCCTTTATTAAAAAAGGATTTCAAAGGGCTCTTTACCCACTTTGTTCAGTGCAGTATTGAAAACATACCTATTAGGAATAGATTATTAAATGGTGTTACTTATTCCTGGTGGTGACAGTCTTATTCTTTATTAACACTATAGCTAGTATTACTTATCAATTATAATCTATTACTTGTGAAAAGATCTTTAGTGAACACAGAAATAAAATCTTAAAAATTCAAATCTTAAGATTTACTTGCTACAATTATAGTACCTTTTGACAAAAACAGCTTTCTTTTTGAAGTGGCTCAGAAAAGCTAAATTGAGAAAATGTTTAATAGTAACTATAATCAACCTACAACTCCCAATAAGTCATTTCAGCAGGAAAATTTCATAAACCTGAGGTGAAGCAACAAATAAATAAAAAATCATAGCTGTCCCAGGTAGAAAGGTATGAATGTGGATCAGCAAAATGGGCACTCAGGTAAAATGATGACAGTAGTAGATTGCTTGCTTGTTCAGGTGCTAATGATGAAAGTAAAATTTGCTTTAGTTTAGTAGCTCTAAAGGATAGGCAGATTTTTCAGGGGAAGAGATCACCTTGCAACACTGTAACCATATCACCAATTAAAAATTTAACACACTTAGACTCTTTTTAGGGGGAAAAATCTAAGTAAACACTGTAGTTAATTTCCAGGTAGGTTATTAATCTCTCCTAAAAAGTAACTGGGCCATTCCTTTCAATGACATATAAAATCATTACAGGTGCTTTTTACAGATAGATTTTACAAATAAAACTTTTACTCAATTACTTAAAACGAGCAAAAAGAGAGTAGAAAAATGGTGAGACTGCTACTCACCACGATTTGCATGTGTCAGCAACTGAATACTTCTTTACTGAGACGGATCCTTTTTTTTAGTGAAAATATTTTTTCTTGAATTTTAACAATCTGTACATGTACTGACTATAGTTAGTTTTTTCTCACCAGTCACATACTCTAGAATTCCTTTACCCAGACCCATGACTTGACCACAGTGATAGCAGAAGCTGGGGTGGGCACAAATGCTTATACACAACATTATAAAAGATGACATTCACTGGCTTAGAGAAACTGATGAATTTTCATTACTTTTACATCTTATAAGGCTAGCTAACTTTAACAGTTAACTTTAGATAAATCTACTTACACAGTACAACCAACTCACAAATACTAAAAGGTTTCATGATCAAAATGGCTACTACTTCCCCCAAAACCAAAACAGAGTAAAGCACAAGTCTTTGGCTCTCCTTTAAAGAAAACAGCAGGTTACCATTCTTAACCAGACCTTTGTTTGCCTACCAGTAGGGCAAATACCACATTTGTGCATCACTGAGTAATAACACCATTAGAAAAGGCAACTTCACAGAAGTTATTGGCTAAGCGAATTCATTTGAATGCTCTGTTTTGAGGCAGCAAACTGTCACTTTTGCAGATTGGGGAGGGCAGTGGGTAAGTCAAGGGGAAATTACAGGGTGAAAAAAGGTCAAGAAAAAAAAAGACATTTATGGAAAAATGTGAACTTTGAGCTCCATCCCTGAAGAACTCTGGAAAGTCTGATGGAGTTATATACTCAAAGTAGCAAATGAGAATCATACCAATGTTCTTTTAGGCAAAAGAAATACATGGGAAAGAATAGAAGGGAAGGGAAATAAGATGGGAGAAAGGAATCACCAACATTAATGCTGTACCAAACAATTTTTTAAATACATTCTGAGTAACTGAATATTTGTAGTTGGCATTAGGAACAGTGTCTTATCAATATCTAGAATAATATTACTAGAAATCTAGCTATCTCTTCTTTTAATTAGAAAAGTAATAAGGAATGGATCTTTGGTCACTTCAGCCTCTGCAAATTATCTAAGACAGGACAGTTACTGGACTTATCTTGTGACAAAATTATATATAAATTAGGCAAAAGAGCTACACATAAACCAGAAATGGAATCTAGATGTCTCATTCTCAGTTCTTCTACCCTTTGCTAGAGACTCCTTGAAAAAACAGTATGTCAAAGTACTTTTATATTTCTCACTATAAATAAAATTCCCTTACCTATATATGAGAGAACACAATGCTTATTACTCCTACCTTAACCCATTCAAAATTGTTCATCTCAGATATCCAGTTTTTGCTTTTGAATTTAGTGAAATACAAATAAAGTAGTATTTAGAAGAAACTAATATTGTAATAAGTAGAAAACACAGAAACTATATTTCCTATCTGGTTTCATCTTTGTCTCTAAAAAAACAAAATTAAAAAGCCAGAAGAAATTAATACCTTTTAGATTTTGATTTTAAAAAGTAGTTACAGAGTTGAGCAGTTATGCCCAAATATGCCATTTGTCCTTACAGGCTCATGATATCACAGAGAAAAGGAAAAGGAAAAAAAAAAAAAAATTTCGGGGTGTTAGTGAATTCCTAAAACTGCTGATGAGCACTAGGAAAACTGCAAGATTTTCCATTAAGTAAGGTGGAATGACCAATTTAAAATACATTATAGGCACAATGGGACAATATACCATTCTTCTGCCTTTCTACCCAACCAGATTAGCTCAAGTGTAGGACCATGGAGGGGTACAGCTCGAATTCAGGTTACAATTAAAGAGATTTTTTTCCCCCAAATGAAAATACATGAAAAGAGAAAGATACTATTTTAAGTCAAGTTTATACAGTGACTTTTCTGGTTTTCTTCAGAACAGGAATACTGAATAAATTAATCCCTGCTCCTGCCTACTTCACAGAATCAAAAAGGTGAAAGCCAAGAACAAGTGTATTTAAAGGAAATAAGAACAACAGAAATTGAGTTACTAAAGGGTTTCAACTGATACCCAAAAGGAATCTTTACTTTTATTCTAAACTTAAACAAAAATTAATACCCCCAAATGATCTTCTAATACAAGAATCATTCTGAATTCCAAAGTGAATCAACTGCTTCTAAAATTTAGGATGATCTGACACATCCAGAGGAGATCGGTCCAAATCTGCCTATAAGAAGGTTGTAGTACAAAAATTAGCTGGATGTGGTGGCGCATGCCTGTAGTCCTAGCTACTCGGGAGGCTGAGGCAAGAGAATCGCTTGAACCCGGGAGGCGGAGGTTGCAGTGAGCCGAGATCGACCCACTACACTCCAGCCTGGTGATAGGAGACTCCCTCTCAAAAAAAAAAAGTTGGAGGCCAATAATGTTGCCTTTTACAGTTATGCAGAGAAATCAAAAATCTTGGGACTCTGTCAGACATACAAAAGTTTCTTTCCTTCTCCCAATGAACAATAGGCATTTAAAGTGGAAATGTAAAAGAGTTTTAAGTAAAAGTCAAAAAGCAAACAGAAGCCCAAAAAAAAAAAAAAAAAACAAAAAGAAAAAATATAAAAAAATAAAATATTTTTTTTTTTTAAGGAAGAAAAATGTATAAGAAAATTGGAAAAAAAAAAAAAAAGCCTCACCTTCATTCAGTGCTTCTACCACCTCCCAATCGGTCAATTTATCGCAACAGCTGCGCTCATGCGAAAAAATCCTTAAAACATACCCAATATATATACAGATATAGCTATGTATATATGTATATATATAATATATATAAATTTTTATTTAAATAAAAAAGAAAGCTCGAATCCCAAGCCAATATGTGTATATCAAATCCTTGACCAGCCAGGTCTGTAGGGCATAATCAAATTCAATGTGAAATAGTATATAAACACGGTGCCTTGACTGGGCAAATCAAATAATTGCTACTCAAAAGAGTGTTCTGTTTGGACTCTCCTACTGGTAGGCAATGGAGGACTGTATTACCCTTCCCATCCCCACCACCCATTTGTTTAAGTTAACAGTATGATGGACACAGAGTTTAGACTGAGGTTGTTATGACCTCAGCAGGAGTTAAGGGTTAAGAAAATAAGAAATAAGAAAAATATAAACTCTCGTTTTTACCCAACCAAAGCAATGTAGTAACCTATTACACAACCAGTGCTTTCTAATTTAGTAGTAAAATCCAGAAAGGGAAACTGAAAAAATCAGGCAAATAGATGAATGGAGAGGGCGACTATATCAGACAGTCCCCACTAAACATGTTTTACAGGGTCTTAGTTAAGCACAGACACATGGCATCAGAATATGTGCAGCAGAATAATAGTAAAAAAAATTCCTTACTCTTTTCAACATTTTCATGAAGAAACATTTTCAACATTGGACAGCTAAGTCTATGAAAAATGACTTCAAACTATTTCCTACCTACTTATACTAATGATTCTGAGCAACAAGTGATCAATTCATGAACTATCCTTAAGACTCAATCAGTTTACAAGTAAAACAAAAACATCCATTGAAATAATGTGGTTCTATTCATTTTAAGTTCAAATCAAATGTTGCAGTTTTAAAATGTGGTTGATTGTCCTGGTTTTTGAGCATCCTATGATTTCAGCAAAAGTTTAATTTGAAAAGCACTGCTTCAAATTTCCAACCATGAGTTGAATGCAGGCGAATCACCAAACATGTATTTTCAGTGCTAACAAGTTATAGTTAATTCTTAATCAACATTTAAATCTAATTAAATACTGACTCAGCTTTCTCATTATATTCAGAAAATGCAAATGATCCTTAATATGAAAATGAGGACTTCAAAAATTGGTAATTCTCTTTGAAAAGTTGAAAATAAAAACAAGAAATAAAACCCTCCCAAACAAACAAAAATTTTCAATGTCAAGAAAAACATACCTATCCAATGAAGCTAGTGATCTAGAAAGGGATAAAGAATTCCAAAGAACAGCTCTGGGAAAAGCTGGTTTGCTGCACATTTTCTAATAACTCAGTCTAGTACTGTCTGTTTCTCAAGCACCACAGAATTCTCTGAAAGCTGATGTTTTTGGTCTGTTTTAAGTTTACAGGGTGGTGAGAATTGATAAGGACTGGGGATAAGGAATTATACAAATTATACACTGGGTATGTAATACCAAAATACAAGAAAACCTACTTCATTAAGATCATACAATTAATCAAACAGAGTGTATATATAATATCTTTTTTTTTTTTAAAGCCCTGGATCCAAGGCGTCCAAAGTTATTAAAATAAAGTTCATTCACAGAACAAAAACAAATTTAATCTGAATTGCTTGCAGATACTGCTAATTTTCTTTTTCTTTAAATTAAAAAAATGCATTAATGTGAACTATGTGCAGGATTTGTTTTTAGTAGTGGTGTTTGTGCACATTGCCTCTGGTGAATTTCCTGGATTTCTCTGACCGCTCTTAAGAGAAAAAGTTTAGAAGTTATGCGTTCTCCTACCCCTATGCCCGACAAACTGATTAGGAGCAGAAGATAAAAGTAGGACTCCTCATATTTTAAGGAGCAGAACTGGGAGTAACTCCTGATCTCTGGGAGTCATTGTTATCCCCTCCTCCCTCAGGGTCCTCTGATAGGTTCAGAGAGCTGGTCTTGTTTGATAGGAGGCTGATACTCTCTTGTGTCAAGGCTGATCCATTTGGTACCTCACTGCTGACATTTTAAAATTTTGAAAAAGGAGAGAGAGAAAAATGATTAGTACAAAAATATCGACAGGGGATATCATTTAGCATGATAAAAAATATATAAATGGCTTCCAAATTTTAATCTACAGCCCCTTATCCATGTTTTAGCACAGGGTTGGCAAACTAAAGCTAGCCAGGTGCATATTTTTTTTTCAGGTGTGTATTTTTGTAACTAAAGTTTTATTGGAATACAGCCTGCTCATTTGTTTAGCATATTGTCCACTGCTTTCAAACCACAGAGAAGAGTTGAGAATTGTGACAAAAACTTTAAGGCCCATATCTTCAAATACTACCTGGGCTTTAAGAAGAGTACTTATCCCGGATTTAGCAGGTTTGCTACTACAAAAATAATTTTGAGCTCATGTCTATAATCTTAGCACTTTCGGAGGCCAAAGCAGGCAGATCACTTGAGCTCAGGAGTTGGAGACCAGCCTGGCCAACATGGTGAAACCCTGTCTCTACTAAAAACACAAAAATTGGCCTGGTGGTACGTGCCTGTAAAAACCTACTTGGGAGGCAGAGGCACAAGAATTGCTTGAACCTGAGAGGCAGAGGTTTCAATGAGCCAAGATCGCACCACTACACTCCAGCCTTAGTGATAGAATGAGAGTTTGTCAAAAAAAAAAAAAAAAAAAAAAAAAAAAAAGGCCAGGTGCAGTGGCTCATGCCTGTAATCCTAGCACCTGGGAGGCTCAGGCAGGTGGATCACAAGGTCAGGAGTCTGAGACCAGCCTGGCTAAGACAGTGAAACCCTGTCTCTATTAAAAATGCAAAAACTAGCCAGGTGTGGTGGCACGGGTCTGTAGTCCCAGCTACTCAAGAGGCTAAGGCAGGAGACTCGCTTAAACCCAGGAGGCAGAAGTTGCAGTGAGCTGAGTCTATGCCATTGCACTCTAGCCTGGGTGACAGGGTAAGACTCTGTCTCAAAAAAAAAAAAAAAAAAAAAATTGAATCCAAGATAATGCATGAATTAAAATGTCAAAATCCAGGCCTGAAAGCATTAGAAATTTTTGTTATATATCATCAGGGGGGCAACTTAAGACTGTGTATTCAAAAGCCTCAAAATATCCTCAGAAAATAATTTAAGATATGTAAACAAAGCATTAATTGTAATACTGTTTATTGTAGGGATGTTCATGGTAGTTGATATGTATCTTTTCATATCTGCAGAATATTGGATGATATAGGACAGTCTGAATTAAAAACCAAGGAGGTGGAGTGCTTGGTTTGTAAAACTAGCAAGAGGCTAAATGCCCACACACTTTAAAAAGACTGGAAAGAGCCGGGTGCGGTGGCTCATACCTGTAATCCCAGCACTTTGGGAGGCCGAGGCAGGTGGTTCACCTGAGGTCAGGAGTTCAAGACCAGCCTGACCAACGTGGAGAAACCCTGTCTCTACTAAAAATACAAAATTAGCCAGGCGTAGTGGTGCATGCCTGTAATCCCAGCTACTTGGGAGGCTGAGGCAGGAGAATTGCTTGAACCCGGGAGGCAGAGGTTGTGGTGAGCCGAGATCGTGCCATTGCACTCCAGTCTAGGCAACAAGAGTGAAGCTCCATCTCAAAAAAAGAAAAAAAAAAAAAGACTGGAAAGATAATGTAATACTCCAAAATGTTAATAAGAGTTATCTCTGAATATTGGTATTACAGGCAATTTAAAAATTTGCCCTTTTCTAAAATTTTCGATTTCCTAAAGCTAATTTTTTATAACATATTTAAGATGGGGGGGTGACTTTATTTTTTTTACATTGAGCATATAGTACTTTTATAATGTAAAGATACAAGGCTATCTTTGAAATAGATTTAAAAACAAGGGGAAGATGGAAACATAACCAGAAATTTTCCTGTGTTAGGTATTAATAGATAATTCAACCTTGGATCTAAGTTTTGTAACTCCAGATTTATGCAAAAATATTCTTTTTTTTTTTTTGAGACCGAGTCTCACTCTGTCGCCAGGCTGGAGTACAGTGGCACAATCTTGGCTCACTGCAACCTCCCCCTCCCAGGTTCAAGCGATCCTCCTGCCTCAGCATCTCAAGTAGCTGGGACTACAGGCACAGGCCCCCATGCCAAGCTAATCTTTGCATTTTTAGTAGAGACGGGGTTTCACCATGCTGGCCAGGATGGTCTCAATCTCTTGACCTCGTGATCCGCCCGCTTCAGCCTCCCAAAGTGCTGGGATTACAGGCGTAAGACACTGCGCCTGGCTGCAAAAATATTCTTAATGTACACAGAATAATGATATTTTAAGAATCAAATTATGTTTATGAGGGTACTTCTGATATGACTGGATAATACAATAATTTCTCTTTTGTGTGTAATTTAATATGGCTACAAAAATCTCCTTTTCTTTACCTGAATGTCAATGTAAGGTCCTCAGCTGGAACCTTGTTTTGTGGCTCTGGTTGTCCATTTTCGGCTTGTTTACTTGTATTCAGTTTGCTTTTCATGTCCAGAGAACACTGGTTTTCCTTTGAAAGAGGAAAGAAAATCAGTTATCGTCTATTTAATGGTGTTAATGGGAGAGACCAAATTACAGATAATACAAAGTGATGATCCAGAAATCATTTAATTTTGTAAAATAACCAAAGAAACTGGCAGACTAAAAGAGTGACATACATAAAAACATAACAGAATACAACCCACTTGCTCACTAACCAAGCGGGACAAAAAGAGAGACAATGCCTCAAGCTAACGTGAAAAAAAAATTCACAGAAAAAAACGATAACCTAGAAAGGTGGCCAGGCATGGTGGCTCATCCCTGTAATACCAGCAGTTTGGAGGCTGAGGCAGGTGGACTGCCTGAGGTCAGTTCGAGACCAGACTGGCCAACATGGCAAAACCCCATCTCTACTAAAAATACAAAAATCAGCGGGGTGTGGTGGTGCACGCCTGTAATCCCAGCTACTCAGAAGCTTGAGGCAGGAGAATCACTTGAACCCAGAAGACGGAGGTTGTAGTGAGCTGAGATTGTACCACTGCACTCCCCCACTGGATGACAGAGTGAGGCTCCCTCTCAAAAAAAAAAAAGAAAAAAGAAAAAAAAAGGCTGGGTGTGGTGGCTCACACCAGTAATCCCAACACTTTGGGAGGCTGAGGTGGGTGTATCACCTGAGGTCAGGAGTTCGAGATCAGCCTGGCCAACATGGCAAAACCCCGTCTCTACTAAAAATATTAAAAAATTAGTTGGGCGTGGTGGCAGGCACCTATAATCCTAGCTACTTGGGAGGCTGAGGCAGAAGAATCACTTGAACCCAGGAGGCTGAGGTTGCAGTGAGCTGAGATTGTGCCACTGCACACCAGCCTGGGCAACAGTGTGAGACTCTGTCTCAAAAAAAAAACAACTAAAAAAAAAACCAAAAAAACAAAAACTACACCGGTGTGGTGGCAGGCACCTGTAATCCCAGCTACTCAGGAGACTGAGGCAGGTGAATCACTGGAACATGGGAGGCGGAGGTTGCAGTGAGCTGAGACTGCGTCACTGCCCTCCAGCCTGGGTGACAGAGACTCAGTCTCAAAAAAACAAAAAAAGCAAACCAAAGTACAATAAATATATTTAACATACTTACTGAAAGCAAAAAAACCTGCACACTCAATTTATTTGCTTAGAAAGATTATGAAAACTATGCAACAAAAAAATCATATGCAACCTGAGGAACCCCCTAAGATTCAAAATTTACTAAAATGAATGTCTGTGCACTATGAAGCAAATCCTAAGCATATTAATGGATATAGTTCCAAGGAAAGAATGTGCAGATTGTATATCACTCATAGCAAAAAAAGGTCATTGTTATAAAGGCTACGAAGCTGGAATATTATTTGGTGAATACATCTTTATATAACACGTTGTCATTGCAAAATAGTAAACACCATCCTATTTGCTTCCCTAATCGATATGCTAAACAGAGATTTAAGAACTTCCATTAAGTTCTTAAATTAAAGAAGCATTAAAACCTTGTTTTCCCTAAAAGTTAATGAAGAATTCTAAGACAAAGAACACACCCAAACCAAAAGACAGGAAGGGAATGATAAAATCGTAAGGTAGTCCACCCGCATGATAATTATTTTAAATATTAACCACTCATCAGAGTGCCTTGAAGTGATGATTCTGTAGCTCTAGATAATTCTAGAGCCACATGAAAGATTTCATTTCACCTTCCCCCTCTCTTCCCACCATAACACTCACCATACTCAGTTCCCGTGTTCTCTTCCCGATTTCCCTTTCCACCTGGTGCAGTTCCAAGCTCAACTGCTCACTTGAGATCATTCCAGGCCATTTGGGAGGTGGCGGTGGTGGGGGCTGTGACTGGCCTGCCAGGGTGTTTGCCTCCCTCTGCAACACCAGTCTGTTACTAACAGCCTAGTGCATAAAGCCAAGCACAGAGAAAACTCAACACACTTCACACCATGCACAGAATAACCAGGCTCAACTCCACACCACAGCCTTAAGTAGCTTATCACTCAGCTATTTGCAACAAAAATAATGCAACTGTAAGGCACTGTTCTCTTTGAGTACCATTTAAACAAAAAAAGAACACAACAGGGACATTTAAATTTAGTAAACAGTAATTTCATCTTAAGTATAAATTGCTCCTTGTATTTTCTGATTTGAAAGAGAAGTTGGCTGTGCATGGTGGCTCATGCCTTTAATTCTAGCACTTTGGGAGGCTGAGGTGGGAGGATCACTTGAGGCCAGGAATTTGAGACCCACCTGGGCAATACATCAAGACCTTGCCTCTACAAAAAAAAAAAAAAAATTAGCCTAGGATGGTGGTGTGGGCCTGTAGTCCTAGCTACTAGGGAGGATCACTTGAGCCCAGGAGTTTAAGATTACAGTGAGCTATGATCATGCCACTGCACTCCATGCACTCCAGCCTGGGCAACAGAGTGAGACCTTGTCTCTCAAAAAAAAAAAAAAAAAGGAAATGGAAGAAAAACAAGCCAACTACAGGTGTGCATCTTTCCCCCTCTGTTTTTAATGGTAATTTTCTCTGAAGTAAATCCTATAACTTATTTCATTGAAACCTTAGTAATGGCAAGGACTTTTAACTGTACTGAGTTGAATATGTGGCAAGTTTCTAAATAATACTGATAGTCTTTTTGGACAGAAAATGTGCCTGGAAACTTTAAAACAAAAAACCATGCATTTGAGGATATGCAGTGATGCCTTATTGGGTGGAAGGTCTGAATCTTTAAAAAGTTAATGAACGAAAGATTGCCATAAGCAAACATAGCATTCTGTTTCTGTGACAGGAATCAGCAAGACGTTTTGAATCAATGTAAATAAGCAATGGCAAAAGCAGACAAAATCTAAATATTACATAGATTTTTAAAAATTCCTAAATCTAATTGTGTACGTAGGGGCACAAGTCAGCTAAATGTTCCGAAAACAATCTCCTACTGGTCTTCCTAAAAATAAAGTCTACTAAGAAAAAGTCTTATAACTTTTTTTCCCTCCAAAGTGATGGCTTACTTATTATTAAAGATTATGGTAGAAAGATAGACTAATGTTCTAACAGTACCATTTTTTCCTCCAGAAAGGACAACGTATTTATCATTAGAATGTCTTCAGTTTTCCATATTCAAAGAATATGTTCCAATGTAAAGGATGATATATAAACAAAACCTGGTCTTCCTTATGTGATACTTAAAAGATTTTTAAAATTCTTGTTTTTTTTTTTTTTGAGACAGGGTCTCACTCTGTTGCTCAGGCTGGAGTGCAGTGGCACCATCCAGGGATCACTGCAGCCTTGACCTCCCTGGGCTCAGGTGATCCTTCTGCCTTCAGCATCCTGAATAGCTGAGACTACAGGCATGCACTACCATGCCTGGTGAATTTTTGCACTTTTTGTAGTGAAGGGATTTCGCCATGTTGCCCGGGCTGGTCTCAAACTCCTGAGCTCAAGCAATCCATCTGCTTTGGCCTCCCAAAGTGCTGGGATTACAAGCACGAACCACCACATCCAGCCAGATTTTTAAAATTCTTTAGTTTTGTTTTTCTAAGTGTCAGGCAGCATGATGGAAAGAACACTGAATCTGAAATATGAAGACTTGAGTTCATGTTTCAATTTTTGAGAAACTCATATACTTCAATCAAAAAAGGAAGACAATACCACCTGCCTAACATACCTATTGGGGATATTGTAAGGGTCAAATAAGATACATGGTAGTGATTTTTAAATGGTACAGAACTACATAAATGAAAAGTGTTATTATTCTTATTACACTGGAACTATGTTTTATTTTTTAAGTCAAAGTTCTTTTTTTTTTGAGACTGAGTCTCACACTGTAGCCTGGGCTGGAGTGCAATGGCGCGATCTCGGCTCACTGCAACCTCTGCCTCCTGGGTTCACACGATTCTCCTGCCTCAGCCTCCTGAGTAGCTGGGATTATAGGCGCACACCAGCATGCCCAGCTAATTTTTTGTATTTTTAGTAGACATGGGGTTTCACCATGTTGGCCAGACTAGTCTTAACTCCTGACCTCATGATCCGCTTGCCTCGGGCTCCCAAAGTGCTGGGATTACAGGGGTGAAATCCCGTCTCTACTAAAAATACAAAAATTAGCTGAGTATGGTGGTGTACATCTATAATTCCAAGTACTCAGGAGGCTGAGGCAGGAGAATCACATGAACCCAGAGGTGGAGGTTGCAGTGAGTCGAGATCATGCCCCCTCACTCCAGCCTGGGCAACAGAGCAATACTCTGTCTCAAAAAACAAAAAACAAAAACAAACAAACAAACAAACAAAACTTAAATGTGCCATCAGGGAATACAAGCTCCTGTTGGGAAATTTTAGGTAATCTGTTTTCTATTCTTAGGTAGTAGAAATTTTACGTTTTCTATTGTCCCAGAGCTAAACCCAGTATTGAATTCTTTGAAGAATGGAAACCTACACTAACTCCTAAGAAATAGACCTTAAAGTTTTTTGTTCATAGTGCCTCAAAAGTTCCCGTTTAAAATCTCTGAGAACCCTTCAAAAATTGGAACAAAAATGGCTCTCTAGGCTGGTACCTCTAGTCCACGTAGCTGGGTCTGCTGGCTAATCTGATGGTTCAATTGTTGTAATTCTAGTCGTAGCTGTTCTCTCTCAGCGGATGGAAGGGGTTTTCCATGACTGGCCACTTCTGACATAGATATTCTCTCTCTTTGGTTAGAAAGAAAGTGTGAAGTAAATTTTAACATTTCATTTTGTTAACATATTACTGACCAGAAAAACAAAAAGAAGTTGCATAATTTTAAAGGTTTCTACATGTCTATTCAAGTAAAAATAATGACTCATACCTCTCACTGAAGTGTCCCTGAGAAGGTATGTTTTGATGAGGTGAATATGGAGAACCTCCCCAGCCACTGTGGGTTCCATATGGACTATAATCTGTAAGAGAATGATTTATTATGGTATGAGATAATTCACAGATTTGATTCTTCTTTTAAGGTACTCATAATCTAAAAGACATTAGGGTATTGCATACACAGATATCTGGTATCTACCTTAAATGGCCAGATTTTTAAAATTCTTTAACTTTGTTTTTCTAAATGTCAGGCAGCATGATGCTGGGTGCTGATACATGTTTGTTTCTTCCCCAATGAACTTTCAGTCTTTGTAGTTTTTCTTCCAAATTACTGTATAATGAGAATGTTATTCCTCCAAATAGCAATGAAGCTATTTGGGGTGGGGGTGGGATGGGGAAGAAACATTAGGAAAGCTTCACATATAGACATTTAATTTCAGTTTATATACCTAAAATTCACTGGGTTATATTACCTTTCTTACAGGGATGATTCCATGGAAAGTTTGAAAATTACTGCCTTGCAAGATTACTAAAAACACTGATAGTAAATGGGGAGCAGGGTTAATGCTAAAAGTCAAGATTATGAACCCTTTAGGTCAGCTTACCTTTGAGATTCTTACCTGAAATGTTAATAGATTTTGTAGGAGCTCCCTGAGGTGCCATAGCCTGCATTGGACCAGCACCCTGATATATAGTTTTGGAAGTTCGCGAGATGGCACCAAACCGAGACACTGTTGGTCGGTCTCCAAATGGGATGAGGTCATCATCACTGGTTTCTGCTGCTCTTCTCTGAAGATCTAATCGCTGGTCCCTCATTCCTTTACTCTCCACATTCTGATAAAAAAGCAAAATGAGAAATCTACCCCACACTCAGATCGCTCTGTAACCTAATTTTTTCTATATCTGTAATAAGGTTAAAGATGAGTACAACACTCTTACTGGTAAGACCAAAATCATTAGTTACCTTTGGTTGTTTTTATGTAACACTGGTTTTTAAACCTCTGAGGTGAGGGGCGACAGGGTCCCACTCTGTTGCCCAGGCTGGAATGTAGGGGCACTATCATGGCTCACTGCATCCTCAACCTCCTGGGCTCCAGTGATCCTCACACCTCAGCCTCCCAGGTAGCTGGGACTATAGGCATGTACCACCATATTCAGCTAATTTTTTTATTATTATTTATAGAGATGAGGTCTCCCTATGTTGACCAGGCTGGTCTCAAACTCCTGGGCTCAAGCAATCCTCCTGCCTCAAGTTCAACCTCCCAAAGTGCTGGGATTACTGGTATGAGCTACTGCACCTGACCGAAGAAATATATTTTTAAAATTTATGGGAGGCCATTGTTTTGGACTAAGCTCCTGCACTAAGTCCCAAGACACCAGATCAAAGCAGAATGTAATCACTTGTGCTAGATGCCACAAAATCAAACTGAACTTGAAAATGCGTCAGTTTTCCAAAAAACAGGAGATTCACAGCAATCAATCATAAGAGGGTCACTCAATTAGAACTGGTAAGTCCCTTCTGCTTTAGTCCTATAAGGAAAATAACTTTGAAACAGCTAATCTGAGTTTCGTTCCTTTTCTCTGTTTAGCTCATTAGAGCATCTTTCTATTTCATAGACGAAATGCTTCCTGATTAATCAATCACTAATAAAAGCCAATTCAATCTTTAAGAAATACATATATATAATGATCTAGTGTATATATATATATGCATACAAATATATATTTATCCCTATATAATGTTAAACACATATATAGACACACAAATATATAATTTGTATGCACATTAACATTTGAGAAATACTAGATTAGACTTCTTTCACCTATTTGGGAGGTTTTCAGTTACCTCCCAAATTTCAAGTCCTCTAGATTGGACTGCAACTTTTTGTTTGTTTTTGAGACAGGGTTTTGCTCTGTCACCAGGGTGGAGTGCAGTGGTGTGTGAGCCTCAACCTCCTGGGCTCAAGCAATCCTCCTGCCTCAGCTTCTCAAGTAGCTGGGACCACGGGCGTGCACCACCACACCTGGCTAATTAAAAACGTTTTTGAGGAGATGGGGTCTTGCTATGTTGACCAGGCTGGTCTTGAACTCCTGGGTTCAAACAATCCTCCCACCTTGGCCTCCCAAAGTGCTGGCGTTACAGGTGTGAGTCACCATGCCTGGCCCAAACTTTTTAATTCTTTACTGATTTAAGAAAATGAGTTTTATTTTGTTAATACTTGTGTTACTTTAATATAATAACCCTTTTTGAAAGCCAAGTACAAGGCAAACATTCCTGCCTAATTTCCCCTCATTTCTTTCCAATAAGAGCCTTATTACAGCCTAAAAACAATGCTTCTGTAATCCTACTGCAAAAAAAAAAAAAAAAAAAAGGTTTTTTTTGCTTTTTCTCCCTCTAAAACTCTATTTTTTGGGGGGGGGGGCGGGGCTGGCATATAATCATATTTATGCTATTAGATATCACTTCACTCATTTACAGTGGTTTTCAGCATCCAAATCTTTTTCTTATGGCAAATATTGGTCTTTTCTTAACCACCTGGAAAAGTATTTATCCATGAAAATCTATATAACCTAGGAAAAACCTATATAATATCTTACTAACTCTGTTAAGAGTAATAAGGACAAATGGGTTAAGAATAGTCAAGGTATACCATACCGTTCAGCAATACTTTTTTTTTTTTTTTTTTGAGATGGAGTCTCACTCTGTTATCTAGGCTGGAGTGCAGTGGCACAATCTCAGCTCACTGCAACCTCTGCCTCCCGGGTTCATGCCATTCTCCTGTCTCAATCTCCCAAGTACCTGGGATTACAGGCTCCTGCTACCATGCCCAGCTAATTTTTGTGTATTTAGTAGAGATGAGGTTTCGCCATGTTGGCCAGGCTGGTCTCAAACTCCTGACCTCAAGTGATCCACCTGCCTTGGCCGCTGAAAGTGCTGGGATTACAGGCATGAGCCACAGTGCCCAGCCAGCAAGACCATTTCTAAGTGTAACTTTCATGCACGTGAAGACATATATACATAAGAATGTTTGTTGGAGCACCATACATAATAGTGAAAGATCAAAAATAGCCTAAATGTCCACTAACACAAAAAGAAATCATTGTATGGTATCATTTATACAGAATATCTCGCAAAAGTAGCTAAAATCAATAATCCTGAGCTACAGATATAAATATGGGCTGGGTATGGTGGCTCACACCTGTAATCCCAGCATTTTGGGAGGCCGAGGAGGGCAGATCACCTGAAGTCAGGAGTTTGAGATGAGCCTGACCAACATGGCAAAACTCTGTCTCTACTAAAAATACAAAAAAATTAGCCAGGCATGGTGGTATGTGCCTGTAGTCCCAACTCCTCGGGAGGCTGAGGCAGGAGAATCGCTTGAACTCAGGAGGCGGAGGTTGTAGTGAGCTGAGATCATGCCACTGCACTCCAGCCTGGGTGACAGAGTGGAACTCTGTCTCAAAAAAAAAAAAAAAAAAAAAAAAAAAAAAGACACAATTTAAAAGCAATGCTGAGTGAAAACATGAAAATACAAGCTGAAGTGTATAATTTACATAAGGTCTATAAACATATAAAACAACATTGTTTAGGAATAGTATAAAATTATCCATGGCCAGGCGCACTGGCACACACCTGTAACTACAGCACTTTCAGAAGCAGGAGAATCCCTTGAGCCCAGGAGCTCAGGACCAGCCTGTTCTGCCTAGGCGACATAGCAAGACCTCATCTCTACCAAAAAAAAAAAAAAAACAAAAAATAAAAACTAAAAAAAAAAAAAATTAGCTGAGCATAGTATCACACATCTGTGTCCCAGCTACTTGGGAGGGTGAGGTGGGAGGATCACTTGAGTCCAGGAGCGTGAGGCTGCAGTGAGCTGTGATTGTGACACTGCACTCCAGCATGAGGAAGATCCTGTCTTAAGGGGAAATAAAATTATCCATGAAAATGATAAATACTAAACTCAGGATAGAGATTACTGACAGGGAATGAAAGAGGGAGAAAAACGAGACTTGGGAAATATATACAGGGGGATATACTTCTTGAAAATTGTATTTCTTTAAAAAATAAAAAGGCAATGAAGATACTATCCAAGTAGGGTAACTCATGCTTGTAATCCCAGCATTTGGGAGGGAGAGGCAGGAGGATCACTTGAGGCCAGGAGTGTAAGATCAGTCTGGGAAACATAGCAAGACCCCATCTCTACAAAATTTTTTAAATTAGTTGGGTGTGGGGGCATGCACCTGTAGTCCTAGCTACTCAGGAGGATCACTTGAGTTCAGGAGTTTGAAGTTACAGTGAGCCATAATCATGTTACTACACTCCACCCTGCGTGATGAAGACCGATCCTATCGCTATAAAGAGATAAGCTGAAGCTGGGCATGGTGGCTCACGCCTGTAATCCCAGCACTTTGGGAGGCCGAGACAGGTGGATCACTTGAGGTTGGGAGTTCAAGACCAGCCTGACCAACATGGAGAAACCCCATCTCTACTAAAAAATATAGCTGGGTGTGGTGGCATGCACCTGTAGTCCTAGGTACTCAGGAGGATCTCCCGAGTTCAGGAGTTTGAGGTTACAGTGAGCCATAATCACATCACTGCACTCCACCCGGGGTGACAAAGATCGATCCTATCTCTATAAAAAGAGATAAGATGAAGCTGGGCACAGTGGCTCACGCCTATAATCCCAGCACGTTGGGAAGCCGAGGCGGGTGGATCACTCGAGGTTGGGAGTTCGAGACCAGTCTGACCAACATGGAGAAACTCCGTCTCTACTAAAAAATACAAAATTAGCCGGGTGTGGTGGTGCATGCCTGTAATCCCAGCTACTCCGGAGGCTGAGGCAGGAGTATCACTTGAACCTGGGAGGCGGAGGTTGCGGGGAGCCGAGATTGCGCCATGGCACCCCAGTCTGGTCTGTCTCAAAAAAAAAAAAAAAAAAGAGATAAGATTTTGATAATATTTTAACTTGGTTATTAGAAACACTGGTGTTACATGATTTTTCACTAAAGAATAAAATAACCCAAGTATTAAATTTCAGCATCTTAGAGTTCACTTGAAGCTGAGCAGCTGTAATTCTGACTCAAATACTACTCTTGTTCACTAGATTCAACTTTGTTATTTAAACTTCAGAGTTGTGAAAAATAATTTTTTTTTTGAGAATTTTTTTTTTGAGACGGAGTGCTACTTTGTCGCCCAGGCTGGAGTGCAGTGGCACAATCTTGGCTCACTGCATGCGCTGCCTCCCGGGTTCACACCATTCTCCGTGAAGAAGAATTTTAACTTATTTGGTGAAGAGGTCCAAGATCCTAATTAATTATGTAAAATAATTTAATCTGGGTACTAAACAATTGTTGAGAAATTGCTATTTGCACAGAAATATAATAAATGCTCTGTCTCGGTAAGTATTAGAAGATTTTTATTTACATCTAAATGAATCAAAAACCTGTACTGCTTAAAGATAACTCAATTGCAGAGTATAGAATATGGTCTGAAACTCTTAAGCAAAGCTGAATTATTTGTGCCTAAATGGTAATGGGTGAAAATTTATTTGGTTTATCTTGATTTGTATTAATTATTGCTTAGCTGTTACACATACCATCATTTCCACACTCCCTGCTGCCACAACATCTTTGGGTTTTGCATCTTTGGTTCCAATGTAGGAGCCGATGGTGTCACATGACCAGGGAGAGTATTGGCTATAATCATTTCCTTTGTATTTCCCAGCTACCTTCAAGTCTTCATCCAAAAACTACAGATGGAGAAAGAAAAAAAAAAAAGAAAAAGAAAAAGAAACAGGAAATGGGTCTATGAATAACAAGACAGAGAAAGCAGGGAATTTCTTAGAACATTGTGCTGAAGCAACATAATGATGATTATTCGATTTTTAAGTGCCACAATAGAAGATTTTTGTAAACTATGAAAAATATAAAATAAGTGAAGAGTGATTTTTAGCTTTCAGTTTTTGTTTTTGTTTTTTTTTTTACCTTAGCAGAAGGTTTAAAAAAAAAAAAAAAAAAAAAAGTAATTCAATATCCTCCCAGGAATCAGGCTAGGATTTTATGGGTTTGCTCATCCTTTTCTTCATTAGATCAGTAAACATTTAAGCATATATGTACCAAGCCATAGTTTTGCTAGACCCTCCTCAATGTTTCTTTCAATAAAATCAAGGTAAACAAGAACATTAAAATTTTTGATTTTTATAGTACATGATGATGTAGTAACTTTTTACTGAAATCTCTTTAATAGCAATAATTCATATCTTGAATAAATTCTGCTTCTTAGGTTGATTCAATGAGATGAAAAGGATGTTTCATTTTTATCTTTTCAAGATAAGTTCTCCAGTCTAAAAACAGAATAGCTATTCTAAGGCTAATATATTTTCACTAAAATTGCAACATTCACATCTATAAAATGTTTTACATTTTCAAAATGTTTTCACGTATACTACCTAATAAGCTCCTAAATCCATAATAGACAACACAGGTGATATGACCAAGGCTATACCAGAATAGGGCAGTGCTAGGACTATAACTTTAATGTTTCTTTCATCACAAGACATATATACACTGATATCTAGGGGTATCAGTGTTCATACTAAAAACATCTCTTTGCTGAGTTATCATTGTTGGCCTTCTGCACTGACATAGTAGTATCACTCACTGTCAACCACTCTTCATTGGTACTGGTTCATTTAAGTGGATCTATGCCACCCACTATATTAAAAACATCTCTTTTCTGAGTCATCATTATTGGCCTTCTGCACTGACACAGGGTCTGCTGATCACTAGTATCACTCATTGCCAACCACTCTTCTGCTTCTATTATTCATAACCTTTTCCCTTTTCTTTGTCCTACTATTATTTAAAAAATTTTTAGGCTTTTTAATTTTTCTTCTACGTATTAAACTTTAGATAGAACAGCTAACTTTTAAAACACATGACCTACCAATTACAGTGCTTTTTTTTTAAGATGGTGTATCGCTCTGTCACCCAGGATGAAGTGCAGTGACATGATCTCTGCTCTCTGCAACCTCTGCCTCCCAGGTTCAAGCCACTCTCCTGACTCAGCCTCCCAAGTAGCTGGGATTACAGGTGCGTACCTCTACACCTGGCTAATTTTTGCATTTTTTGTAGAGACAGGGTTTCACCATGTTGGCTAGGCTCGTCTGGAACACCTGACCTCAGCTGATCCACCTACCTCAGCCTCCCAAAGTGCCGGGATTACGGGTGTGAGCTACCACGCCTAGCCAAGAGTGCTCCTTTTTTAAATCTCTGACTGTAGTGTATTATATGCAGCTATTTAAATGAATGAGATAAATGTATATACTGACTATACAAAGACAGCCAGGAAAATGGATTAGGTAAAAACAAAAACAAAGGCAAAACAGACATAAAACCAAGATGTATTTACTAAATGATCCTATTAAAAAATAATAATGAGGCTGGGCAAGGTGGTTGACATCTGTAATCCCAGCACTTTGGGAGGTCGAGGCAGGCAGATCACCTAAGGTCAGGAGTTCAAGACCAGTCTGGCCAAGGTGGTAAAACCCTGTCTCTACTAAAAATACAAAAATTAGTTGGGTGTGGTGGTGTATGCCTGTAGTCCCAGCTACTCAAGAGGTTGAGGCAGGAAAATTGCTTGAACCTGGGAGGCAGAGTTGCAGGGAGCCAAGTTTGCACCACTGCACTCCAGCCTGGGCAACAGAGTGAGATTCCGTCTCAAAAAGAAAAAAAAAAAAAAAGTAATAACAATAATAATAAAGAGATCCAACAATCCCACTACTGGGCATTCATCCAAAGGAAAATAAATCAGTATATGAAGGGATATTTACACCGTCATGTTTTATTACCAATAGCCAAGATACAGAATCAACCGAGGTGTACAGCAACAGATGAATTGATAAAGAAAATGCGGTATATATACAATGAAATATTATTCAGATATGAATAAATCCTGTCATTTGCAGCCACCTAGATGAGCCTGGAGGACAACACATTAAGTGAAATTGGTTAGGCACAGAAAGATAAATATTTCATGTTCTCACTCATATGTGGGAGCTAAAAAGTTGAGTCACAGAAGTAGAGAGTGGAACTGTGGTTATGAGAGACTAGAAAGGGAATGGAGGGAGGCAAGGGGAGACAGAGCTTGGTTAATAGATACAAAATTATAGCTACATAGGAGGAATTACTTCTAGCATTCTATAGTCCTGCAGGGTGAATACAGTTAATAATTTACTATGTATTTTCTAAAAGCTAGAAGAGAGGATTGTTTTTCCTGATTTGAAAAAATTATTTTTTTTTTGAAGAAAACTTTTAACATCATAAACTGATCTTTATATACAATTTTATTCATTATTTCTATACACCAATTCAATTCAGGTTTATTTACTTATTTACAAATGACATAAAAAATGTGGGCTGGGCATGGTGGGTGGATTGCTTGAGCCCATGAGTGTGAGATCAACAGCCTGGGCAACACAGCAAGACCCTGTCTCTTTTTTAAGAAAATAGAAACATTTTTTTAAAAATTTTCCACTTAGGATCTTGGAAGTCAAAATAAAATGGAAAGTATCTAGGACAGATTGACAAAAGAAACAAATATCAACAAAATAATTTTCAATTTGATGAAGAAAGAAACCACAATCTTAGGCTGGGCATGGTGGCTCGCACCTATAATCCAGCACTTTGGGAGGCCAAAGCGGGTGGATCATGAGGTCAGGAGTTCAAGACCAGCCTGGCCAACATAGTGAAACCCCGTTCCTACTAAAAATACAAAAAATTAGCCAGCATGGTGGCGGGTGCCTGTAATCCCAGCTACTCAGGAGGCTGAGGCGGGAGAATTGCTTGAATCTGGGAGGCGGAGGTTGCAGTGAGCCAAGATCACACCATTGCACTCCAGCCCAGGTGACAGTGTGACATTCCATCTCAAAAAAAAAAAAAGAAAGAAAGAAACCACAATCTTCATACAACAACAACAACAACAACATCAGGTTTGCAGTAAGAGATGTGGCTTTTTTTTTTCTACAGGCGTGAGCCACCGCGCTGGGCCGATTTATAAAGGAAGTTTGAGATAAACATTGTCAACAATGTTGTAGATATGAAAAGCAAGGACAACAGCAGATCTGCCCAGCATTTTTCCTTGAAATAAAATCTGAAGATATTTATTTAGCCCACAAGAATGTTACTTATACAATGTTATATAATGTAAAAATTGACAATTAAAATATAACACTGCTCTCTTCTTCAAAGAAAAGTTGGATGACTGGCCGGGCACAGTGGCTCATGCCTGTAATCACAGCACTTTGGGAGGCTGAGGTGGCTAGATCATCTGAAGTTAGGAGTTCGAGACCAGCCAACATGGGGAAACCCCAACATGGTGAAACCTCGCCTCTACTAAAAATACAAAAATCAGCCTGGCATGGTGGTGCATGCCTATAATCCCAGTTACTCAGGAGGCTGAGGCAGGAGAATCGCTTGAACCAGGGAAGTGGAGGTTGCAGTGAGCTGAGATCGTGCCACTGCACTGTAGCCTGGGCAATAGAGCAAGAGTCTGTCTCAAAAAAAAAAAAAAAGAAAAGAAAAGAAAAGAAAAGTGGGATGACTGTTCTGAATGACTTAAAAGCTACCTGCCTACCAGTCAAAGGATGACTGAAACTTTCTGGAAGCATCCTGCATTTCTGTAGCCTTGACCTTGCAGTGGCAAGTTATCACATACACAATTGTCCAAGGAAGAGAGGATTTTGAATGTTCCCAATATAAATAAAAGGTAAATGTTTGAGATAATATGCTAATTACCCTGCTTTGATCATTGCATATTGTATATGTGTATTGACATATCACTTTGGGAGGCCGAGGCAGGTGGATCACCTGAGGTCAGGAGTTTGAGACCAGCCTGACCAACATAGAGAAACCCTGTCTCTACTAAAAATACAAAATTAGCTAGGCGTGGTGGCGCATGACTATAATCCCAGCTCCTCGGGTGGCTGAGGCAGAAGAATCACTTGAACCCAGGAGGCAGAGGTTGCGGTGAGCCGAGATCATGCCATTGCACTCCAGCCTGGGCAACAAGAGTGAAACTCCATCTCAAAAAAAAAAAAAAAGAAATACCACTCTGTATCCCATCAACTTGTACAATTATAATGTGTCTACTAGAGAGATGTTAGTTCATGCACAGAAAGAAGGTGAAATATATATAAAAAGTTTAAATATATAATAAACAGTGGTTATAGAAAATGAGATTTTGGAGAAACTTCTCTTTCTATATCATGTATTTCCATAATGTATGAATTTAGTACAATTATACACAGGTTGTTTTATTTATTTATTTTTAAATTTTTGCTGAGAAGGAGTCTCGCTCTGTCGCCCAGGCTGGAGTGCAGTGGTGTGATCTCGGCTCACTGCAACCTCTGCCTCCTGGGTTCAAGCAATTCTCCTGCCTCAGTCTCCCAAGTAGCTGGGATTACAGGCGCCCACCATCATGCCTGGTTAATTTTTGTATTCAGGTTGTTTATAATCAGAACTGAGGTTTAAATATGTATCTTTGTATCTCAGTAACTAAAATAATACTAGATAATGTTCCTTAATAGCCAGGCATTATTATCATTTTTATTAGGAGTAAAAATAACAATAATAAATATGAATTGTTTACTGAATGCCTGCTACATACCAGATGCCTTATGTTTCATCTTCACCATACCACTATGAGGTATTTCCTATGTTTGATTTATAAATGAAGAAACTTGCACCTCAGAGTTCAGGGATGCTAAGTAATTTTAAAAAGATCACACAGTGAAGGACACAACTGAACCTCAAAGTTTCCTATGTTTGATACCAAAAACTGCTCACTTTTCACAATGTCATATTGTTTTCCACATTTCTTATAAAACAATATAGCATAACAAAGTTCCAGGGCATACTCTAATAAAGAATTTTTGAAAAAATATCACACCTGTTGTCTTTTTTTTTCCCCTCTAACTTTTTTGAGACAAGGTCTTTGTTACTCAGGCTGGAGTGCAGTAGCACAATCATAGCTCATTGCAGCATGGACCTCCCAGGTTCAAGTAATCCTCCCACCTCAGCCTCCCAAGAAGCTGGGACTGCAGGCGTATCCCACCACACCTGGCTAATTTTTATTTTTAAATTTGTAGGAATAGGGTCTATGTTGCTCAGACTGGTCTTGAACTCCTGGGCTCAAGTCATCTTCCCACCTCAGCCTCCCAAAGTATGGGATTACAGGTGTGAACTACTGCACACCTGGCTGTTTTTACTTTACAAATAAAACTACATTAATAGAAGACGTTGTGACTTTACTAATAACCTACATTTTTGTGGAAAACTCATCCAAAGTGTTTAGATGGGAAAACTAGATATTGTGAAAAACTTCTATTTAGTAGAATTTCCTTCATACTTCCTTCAACTTCCTTCATTCCTTCCTTCAACTTCCTTCATACACCCAACAAGACATTATTTACTATGTGTGATGTACTTCTCCATTTTCATTTATTATTCATGATTTGTCAGTTAGTAACATTTAGAATTGTAATTCTATACACAAAGGATGAAAGACAAGTTCCTTACATAGTATCAACTGTAATCCTGAGAAAACTTACTTGATTATTTAAAAAAAAATATATAAACTATAAGCTAAAGCAGTATGTACAACCAACAAAACAAATACAATTACTTTAAAGTTGGATTTTTTGGGCTGGGCGCAGTAGCTCATGCCTGTAATCCCAGCACTTTAGGAGGCCAAGGTGGGTAGATCATTTGAGGTCAGTTCGAGACCAGCCTGGCCAACATGGTGAAACCCCATCTCTACTAAAAATACAAAAAAATTAGCTGCGTGTGGTGGCACATGCCTATAATCCCAGCTACTGGGGGAGGCTGAGGCAGGAGAATCACTTGAACCCAGGAGGCAGAGGTTGCAGTGAACCAAGATCGCACCACTGCACTCCAGCCTGGGCAACAGGGCAAGACTCCGTCTCAAAAAAAAAAAAAAAAAAAAAGGTTGGCTTTTTGAAAAGACGAACAAAATTGATAAATCCCTAGCAGGACTGACCAAAAAAATTACCAATAGAAAACTAGAAAAACGAACATCACTGTAGACCATATAGACATTAACATAATAAGACAACACTTATTCACCATAACTAGTAGCACTGTCGTACAGAAATACAAAGAAGTTGACTCCTCAAATTATGGTTATTGCCCTGTGATACATTAACCAGCTTTTAAAAAAGCAATCTTATTTGACTGTTGTTTTTCTCTGATTTTCACTATCTATATTTATGTGTCTTTCCTATTCATTAAACCAACTTTTCTGGCTGGTCTCCTCATTACTGAGTTAAATAAATCTTTGATATGTCTTACTTATTTAAAACAATTCTGAAACTAGGATTAGAGAAAAGTTTCATAAATACGATAAAGATTTTCTACCAAAAAGCCTACAACATAATGGTAAATTATTATTAAAAGCTCCATTTACTCAAAGATTAGAAAGGAGTCAAGAATATGTGTTACAATCACTTCTATTCAGCATTATGCTGGAGTCCAAAATAATAAGACAAAGACAAGACAAAAGGATTAAAAAGGGGAAAAAAGATTATTCAGAGGACATAATTGTATGCATAGAAAATTCAAAAGAATCTACTAACAGTATTATAATTAATAAAGAAATTTAGCAAGCCTGCTGAATAGAAGGGTCAATACAAAAAATCTATTTCTCTATATTAATAATAGAAAATAAAAATTTCCAAACAATTCTATTTAAAATAGTTTCAAAAAACAATGATTATCTAGGAATAAATTCAATGTAAGATGTGCAAGACACTGAAGTATGAAATATAAAGAAAATTCAAATAAATGAAGGGGTATATGATGTTCATAGAGACTTGATATTAGAAAGATGTCACTTCTCAGCTGGGCACAGTGGCTTACGCTTGTAATCCCAGTACTTTGGGAGGCCGAGGCGGGCAGATCACCTGAGGTCAAGAGATTGAGACCATCTTGGCCAACAGGGTGAAACCCCAGCGCTACTAAAATACAAAAAACTAGCCGGACGTGGTGGCTCATGCCTGTAGTCCCAGCTACTTGGGAGGCTGAGGCAGAAGAATCACTTGAACCCAGGAGGTGGTGGCTGCAGTGAGCTGAGATGGCACCATTGCACTCCAGCCTGGCAAAAGAGCAAGACTCTGTCTCAAAAAAAAAAAAGAAAAATATCACTTCTCATCATATTGATCTAAGGCAACACTGTCTAGGCCTGGCATGGTGTCTCACACCTTAATCCCAGCACCTTGGAAAGCTAAGTTGGGAGGATCGCCTGAGGTTAGCAGTTCGAGACCAGTAAGGCCAACATGGTGAAGCCCTGTCTCCACTAAAAATACAAAAATTATAGTTGGGCATGGTGGTGCACGCCTGTAATCTCAGTTACTCAGGAGGCTGGGGCAGGAGAATCACTTGAACCCAGGAGGTGGAGGTTGCAATGAATTGAGATTGCACCACTGTACTCTGGCCTGGGCGACAGAGTGAGACTCTGTTTCAAAAAAATAAACAAATAAATATAAAGCAACACTAATAAAAATATAATGCGATCCACACATACAATTAAAACATTTTTGTGGCCATATTAAAAACATTTAGTGGCCATATTAAAAACAAAAACAGGTGAAATTAATTTTAACAATTTTATTTAATCCAATATATCAAAAATATTAATGAAGTTTACATTTTTGGTATGAAATTCTTGAATTCAGTGTGTATTTTATCACTATAGTACATCTGAACTTAAACTAGCCACATATTACATGTTCAACAGCCACATGTGGCTAGTGGCTACCATATTGGACAGCACAGATTTAGAGATCTGATGTAATCCTAATCAAAACTGGAGCAGATGTTTTTGTGGAAATCAACATACTGATTCTTGAAAAATAACAATACTAGAAAATATAACCACCACATATTGAGACTTATTATAGAACTACACGAAGAGAATGTGGCATTGGTTCAAGGATAGAAATAGATTGATGGAAAAGAATAGGGTCAGGAAACATGTATGTGATCACCTGATTATGATAAACCAGGGCACCAGGGAAAGCATGCCGATTTCATTAAATTGTGCTGAGTCAATGTCTTACAGGAAAAAAAAAACAAAAAACAAAAAACACGGATCTTGACTCCTAATACATTACATTACATACATACAAAAATCAGTTCTAGATGGATTGCAGAGCTAAATGATAATAAACCTTTTAGAAGAAAACAGAAAAAAAAAAATCTTCATACGCATTGGGGATAGGCAAAGATGACCTAAACTGGACACACACACAAAAACACTGATAAATGAGACTAAAAATGATTTGCTTACTTCTTCTGGATGAAAGGTAGGAGGCAAGGTTGGTGAAGGTGCAAAAGGAGGTGGAGAGATAACCTTTCTTTCCTCCAGCTGGGCCATTATTTCCTTTCGTCGGCGATGTAGTTCATCTAGACTAGGATGAGGCTGGGGAGGAGGAGGAAGCCGGCTATAAGGAGGTTCCTAAAAATAGAAAGATTAGTTAAAATTGAAAGAGAATTTCAGGACAGATTAATTCATTTAATATACTCAGCGTATATTTTAAGCTATGAAGCAGCTTGTATACCCTTCTTAACATTTGAAAACACCAACACTTAATAGAAAAAGTAAAACAAAACCCCCCAAACTCTCAAGATCTTCCAAATAGCTAAATTTAGGGTTTTTTTATTTGGTCATAATTTCCAAGTAGATCTAGAATTGTTAATTAAACCATCTAAAGTTCAGAAACTAAGACTGGTTAATTGGGGGGAGGAGGCAGAATTTTTTTCTCATTAATAGTTTAAAAAAAAAAACCTACGCAAATTATGAAAAGATTAAAAAAAAAAGAAGCTCTCTTATAAAAAAGAAGTCATCAAAGGGTTATTATCATTGTATAAAAAGTAAGGAATCACTGCAAGCAATAGTCAAATTAAGTCTATGTAATAAAAAAAATACAGCATACTCTGAGGTACGAAGGTCTGATCTGAGTTGGATGAGGAGCCACTGGATAGTAACTCTCGATCTGTTGGTATCTTTCTCTGGATTCTGGTACATACGATGGTACTGCTGCAGGTGGAATCTCAATGGGTATAGGGCTTTCTCGGAATATCTCTTCTCTTGTGTAAGACTGAGCAGGGTACACTCGACGGCTATCATAGTGAGATGGGTATATAGGTGGGTACTGCTGTGGCTGTGTGCCATACTGAGAGTTTACAACACGATCTTGGAGGTAGGGTGGATAATGATCCAAGTAGGGAGGAGCAGGTTCAGGAGCGGATGGTGGAGGTCGGACAAAGCGGGACACACATTGTGGTGGTGGAGTATAATACATACCTGCATAACACAAAAGAGGAACCAAAGGCAATAATGAGCCAATTTAGTTTTCTATATAAGATTTTACCTTTTAAAATACTGAAACACTAAAGTATTGATAATCTACTTATTTCTTTAGAAGTTTTCCATCTGCTTATATAATCAGCTTTTTAAAAAATAACAGGCAAAATTATCTGTAAAAGTCATTGAAAAAACTACCTTACTTATAACCTATAATACTAGATTGGCTCTCATTGTTTGACCCTCTTTCTTGGTGTGTCTTAATGAAATGAAGACATTGCAAAACAAAAAAACTACATTTCCCAGATATCCTTGAAGTCAGGCTACACAAATTAATCACTTGTATGAGGTTTGAATTTGAAACTGAAATAACTGGGGGGAGACATGGAACACAAAAGGCCAGTTTTGCTGGTGCAGATTAGTAGCTACTGCTTGGCTCTGCAGTTCTTGAGACACCAGTTGTGGCAACAGTTTCTCAATTTTCAGACTTTTGCCTCAAATGATGTGATCTTGGAATTAAGTAGTTAGGACAGAAGTTTTTACTTCTACTGCTTACTCATTGTAACAAGTTCTCTTGGCAGCTAGCTCTGGAGCATTGCTTGCTTCTTTAGTACCTCCACCAATATGGCAGGCACCTAACTCCTGCACTAAATCTCTTTCTGCTTAATATAACTAAAATAATTTATCTAAAATTGAAACCAGGCTACAAAAATAGTTGCATTTTTCCTATAATGGATGGTCAAAAGGAACATACAAATCACATTTTATCATATTTTGCATGAATTAGTGATGCCATATCAATTAAAAAACATTCTCATGAATGTAGAGAAGACAATATGATTCAAAATTAAATGACAGACTCGGAAAAAGAAGACAGCACTTTTAATCTATTCCCGTTTAAAAATTATAGTACTATACTGCTTCTGACAGAGATCCAACACTTAAAATCATTCAGTGTTTATTTTACATATAAATTGTATATGTAAAACATTAGTTTATTTTCTTTCCTTCATTCTCCATACCTGGTATTATCATTAAAGCTGGCTACTTTTCAAATTTGTCTATTTTTGAAATCCCTTCTCCTTTCCCACCACACTAATTCCTCAATACTCACACCAAGATTAACAGCCTCCTAACTCAACTCTCATCTTTCCAATCCATTCATACTTTTTTTTTTCCTATTCCAAATACCTCCATTTGGGGCATTTCTTCCATTAAGTCTTTTTGATTCCTCAAGTTCTCAATGATCTCCCTTGAGTCTTTCAGTCAATTTCTATCAAACTCATATTAACCACCACAGCAGATCACTTAATTTTTAACACATACATAAACACCACACACACGTATCTACTACTCATGCATATAAATAGTTTTCTATTCTTTACCATTATTTATTCTATTCTGTAAACTCTCTAAAGGTGTGTATGCTGCATTTTTTCATATATATTACAGGCCCCAGAATAATAATCAAAAGGAAGAAAAATGTACTGTGGGTGTTTAATTCATACACACTATAATATTAATTCTTTTGTCATGCTTGAAGAAAATTTTGGTCAGAATATATACTGCCTTACTCAGCAAATTTCCAATGCCTACTTGTGTGACTTATTTCCATAAATATTATATATGAACACATGTATTATGCAACTGCTTTTAGTAGATAAGGCGATTTGATTTTTATTACTTTGTTTCATTTATTTCATAGTATTTAGTTCATCATAAAATCCAATTTTTCCGAAGTATTAAAAAATGCATTTATATATTTACTATCTTAAAGAGGCTACTGTGTAAATGATCACTCTGACCTGAGCAGTTCTGGTAACTCCTAAGAAAAGTGAGCAATATAAATGAAAAATCGTTACCCTGCTGATAAGGTGCTGGTTCAAATGGTGGAGCCGCTCCTCGCGGATCCTGATAATAAACATCTGTCTGTTGTGCTGGATATAACTGAGAACCTCGAGGTACCATCTGAAGTGGTTTGGTGACAGGCATTGGAGGCAGATCTGTTGGCCCCCTTGGAGGTATAGGATGTGGATTCACAGGTAAGGCAGAAATACTCTTAGGTACAGATTCTAGCCTAAGGGAATAATATTATGGAATTTGTTTAAGGTCTTTAAAATACTCATGTGTATAAATTGTTACAAGTAAAAAAGATTGCTACAATTTGGGAAACTCATTTATTCTAATAGTCATCCCTTCTACAAAATGTGCAATTTTTTATCTTATTTCCCCATGTTAATTGTTTCTTTTCTTTTCTTTTTTTTGAGACAGAGTCTCGCTCTGTTGCCCAGGCTGTAGTGCAGTGGTATGATCTTGGCTCACTGCAACCTCCGCCTCCTGGCTTCAAGCGATTCTCATGCCTCAGCCTCCCAAGTAGCTGGGTTACAGGCATGTGCCACCATGCCTGGCTAAGTTTTGTATTTTTAGCAGAAATGGGTTTCACCATGTTGGCCAGGCTGGTTTTGAACTCCTGGCCTCAAGTGATCTGTCCACCTCAGCCTCCCAAAGTGCTGGGATTATAGGCATGAGCCACCATGCCTGGCTATGCTAACAGTTTCTTAAAAAACACTAGCATGGGGAATAAAAAAACAACAAAATAAAGGCCAAAAAAAATAAATAAATAAAAATCAGTTTTTTTTTTTTTTTTTTTTTTAAATCCCAAACATTAATTGTTCTTTCTTCCTTCGACTTTATGAAGAAGAAATTTTGAAAAACAGAATTAGGAAAAATGACGTACAGGTCAGGAGGGGATCCAGGAGCACTACTGCTCAGATGATCTATTTTTCCTGGTTTCAGACTAGAATCATAGCTGGGGTCTGTCCCGCGTGGAATAAGCTGTGTTACTGTATTCCCTGTTGATACAATTCCATTTGGCAGAGCAGGAGGTTTTCTGCTAGGGAGATCCACTGCACCTTCATCTGGAAGGATAGCTGCTGAAGGCAGGCCCACCTCATTAAGTTGACCCAAAGAGGCACTTAAGGGTCTTCTCGGAACCAGGCGCTTGTTCATTTTACGAAATCTATATAAAAAGCACAGGCACATATCAAAAAGCAAATATAAAAGCAAAACCAAGAACTAAAATGTACTTAACATTATTTTCTAGAAATATTCTCTCTTGAAAACATTAACTCTATCAGTGTGTATATTTTCCATAAAATCCCAAGCAGCAAAGACATATAGATTAAGTATAAAATTCCTCATAAAAATGTGTAACATAGGCCGGGTGCTGTGGCTCACGCCTGTAATCCCAGCACTTTGGGATTACAAAGTGCCCAATCTCCCGCCTTGGGAGGCCGAGGCGGGTGGATCACGATGTCAAAAGATAGAGATCAGCCTGGCCAACATGGTGAAGCCCCGTCTCTATTAAAAATACAAAAATTAGCTAGGTGTGGTGGCGTGTGCCTGTGGTCCCAACCACTCGGAAGGCTAAGGCAGGAGAATCGCTTGAACCTGGGAGGCAGAGGTTGCAGTGAGCCGAGATCGTACCACTGAACTCCAGCCTGGCGAAAGAGTGAGATTCCATCTCAAAAAAAGAGTTACATTTGTCATATTATAAAATATGCTATTAATATTTTTGCTATAATATATTTCTGTGGACATTTGTATTTCTAAAACTTATTGGAGAAGCTAGTAGAAAAATCTTTAGAAGATAGTTTCTGAAATATTTTACTTCAGCTGTCCCTCAAATGCCTTGGGATAAATGAGCCAATGTTAAAAACTAGGAATAAAGAAAAACAAAGCCAGTATGCACTGTGAAACATTTATCATTTACTCTGTTAAAAAATTTAAGCAGCCAGGCACTGTGGCTCACACCAGTAATCCCAGCACTCTGAGAGGCTGAAGCGGGCGAATCACTTGAGCTCAGGAGTTTGAGATCAGCCTGAGCAACATGGTGAAACCCTGTCTTTACCAAAAATATAAAAACTTAACCGGGTATGGTGGTGCATGTCTGTGGTCCCAGCTACTCAGGAGGCTGAGGCAGGAGGATCACTTGAGCCTATGAGGCGGAGGTTGCAGTGAGCCAAGATTGCACCACTGCACTCTAGTCTGGGCAACACAGTGAGATCCTGTTTCAAAAAAAAAAAATTTAAGCAATTAAGGATAGTGACTTTTATTAGAACTGCTGCAGAGATGCTGATGTTATGCCTGCCAATACAAAATTAAAGTTATTTTAAAAGTAGGTTAACGGAACCAAAACAGAATAATTGCCTAAGTTTAAACAGATGCTGTGGTACAACAAGCACATCGATTCTGAAATCTAACCAAAGGAAAAAATATAAGCCATCAGACTCCAGGATCCTTGTTCCTCAACAATGAAAGCAAGCCCATTTACAACCACTAATGCATTTTCATTTTCAAAAATAAAACCTTGGCTGGGCGAAGTGGCTCACACCTGTAATCCCAGCACTTTGGGAGGCTGAGGTGGGTGGATCACTTGAGCTCAGGAGTTCAGGAACAGCCTGGGAAACATGGGAAAACTCCGTCTCTACCAAAAATACAAAAATTAGCTGGGCATGGTGGCATGCACCTGTGGTCCCAGTTTCTCGGGAGGCTGAGGTGAGAGGACCACTGGAGCCTGGAAGTCGAGGCTGCAGTGGGCCATGATCACATCACTACACTCCAGCCTGGAAGACAGTGAGACCCAGTCTCAAAAAAAAAAACAAAAAACAAACAATAAAAAAGGTAACAGATAATTATGAACATGTACTTACACCTTGTGTGAATAACTAAATAAGCAAAGGCAGAATGAGGTCAAAGAGCATGCAAATTAGAAATTTTTATATCATACTGCTCTCTAAAACTATTTTAAGTCCTACTGATCATGAAGGAAAACGTCTTTCAAAACCTCAAATACTGGGTAGTACTGGTCTTTGTTAACTTGGTAGTCCAAATATACTAAGTTGCTTTAATTTGCATTTCTTTAACAACTAGTGAGATTGAACACAGTTTCACAGGATAATTGGTCATTAGTATTTCTTCTGTAAACTATGTTTATGATCCATAAATCTATTGGCTCCTCTCCTTCTTACAGATTTGTAAGAGCTCGTTTTATGTTAGGATATCAGCCCTCTGTATGTCATTTCCTCACTAAGCTCTTTATAAAAAACTGTATTTGTACCATATCTTAGTTTTATAATTTTTATGTAACCAAATTTATCAATCTTTTCCTTTATGGATGCTGGGTTGTAGTTCTTAAAAAAATATTTTCCTTCTTTCCTTAACAACTAAAAATAAACAAACAAAAACCCTCTTACTACTCTGTGGTTTCTTTCTTCCTAAATATTTAAATCTCTTACACATCTAGAGTTCATTCTAGTATAAAGATTGTGGTAAGAATTCAGCTCTATTTTTCAAATAGGTAACAGTTACTTTCCATCATTCTTTTGGTCACTGATGTGAAATGCCACCTTTAGCACATATGCTAAGCTCCTACATGCATCTCAGACTCCTCCTAGATTCTCTATTGCGTTTCATTAATCTATTCCTATGCAAAAGACTACAGTCTTTTATTCACTGAAATCCATAATATAGGTTAATAGTTATTGGTCTAGTTCCTGTCAAAAACTTCTTTTTCAGAATTTTCCTGGCTATTTGTACATATTTATTCTTTACAAGTGAATTTTTGATAGGATCTTAACATCATCATGGTGAGATTTAAATTCAGATTTCTTGGAATTTATTGTCTATGGAAAAATAAAACTTTTATAGCGTCAAACCTTATCCAAGAACACAGTATGTTTACTCAGTATTTCTCTTATGTTCCTAGGTAATTTATTGGTTCAATTTATATACACCCTGATTATTCTTTACAAATCTATTATTTGGTATTTATCTTTTTTGTTGTTGCTAAAGTAGAAGAGATCCTGAATTTTAACTTTTTTCCCCAATAATTTTATGGCTATTTTATTCCTTCTTACATACATTAGCTACTACCTCCACAATGTTAAATAATACTAGTAGAAAATTTTACTACTAATTACTAGCAGAAAATTTTGCCTTATCCTTGACTTTAATGAGAGTGAATTGAATATTTTGCTAATTAAGCATCATACTATTATGTTGGCTTCTGATTTACAACACGATTTATTACCATGCTGAGAAAGTATGATATTTCTGTTGTATTAAGAAATTTTGATTTTTTTTTTTTTTTTTTTTTTTTTTGAGACAGAGTCTTGCACTGCCATTCAGGATGGAGTGCAATGGTGCAATCTCAGTTCACTGCAACCTCTGCCTCCTGGGTTCAAGAGATTCTCCTGCCTCAGCCTCCCGAGTAGCTGGGTCTACAGGCGTGTGCCACCACACTCAGCTAATTTTTGTATTTTTAGTAGAGACAGGGTTTCTCAATGTTGGCCAGAATGGTCTCAATCTCTTGACCTTGTGATCCACCCGCCTCGGCCTCCCAAAGTGCTGGGGTTACAGGCATGAGCCACTGGCGCCTGGCTGGAATTTTGATTTTTAGTTGACATTCAATTTTATTCAAAAGCCTTTGGCATTTTTTGCATATGATCATGTTATTTTCTAAGTTGTGATAATTATGTTGTACTAATTTTGCAGAGTCATGGTATCTATTTTCTTTTCTTTAAAAAAAATTATATTATTTATATTAAAAAAAAAAACACCTACAGCACCCAATATTCCCAGGCAGTCTCCTATCCAAATACTAACTGGGCCTGACCATGCTTAGCTTCTAAGATCAGATGAGCTCAGGTGGATTCAGGGTATTATGCCCATAGACATGGCATCTATTGTAATGTATTATTTAATTATATTTAAATTTTTGAGATTTTTAATATTAATACGTGTGATAGATTTACAGTTTTCTTTAATTGTTTTATCTTTGTCAAATTTAATAAAAGTGTTACATTGGATTTATAAACAAATTAAGAGGCAATGGGTGTGGTGGCTCCTGCCTGTAATCCTAGCACTTTGGGAGGCCAAGGCAGGAGAATCCCTTAAGACCAGGAGTTTGAGACCAGCCTAGGCAACATAGGGAGACCCTGTCTCTATTTTTAAAAAATAAAATAAAATAAAATAAAATAAAAATAAAATAAATTAAGAGGCTTCTCCTTTCTTTCTTCAATGAGCTGAAACATTTAACATTCCTGAAATTATCTTGTCCTTGAAGTTTAAAAGAACTTGTTAAACTGAGCCAAGGGCAAATTTTTCCATTGGAAATACAATATGCGATTAGTTAAGTTAAAATTGATTAAAATTATTAGAATTTTAATTTTTTTTCTCGTGAAAATGACCCACTTTTAGATTTAGCTAATCATAAATTATGTACAGGTTGAGTATCTCTTATCCAAAATGCTTGGGACCAGAAGTGTTTCAAACACTGGATTTGTCTCGGATTTTGGAATATTTGCATATACATAAAGGAGATGTCTTGGGGATAAGACCCAAATATATAACACAAAATTCATTTACGTTTCATATACATCTTTTACACATAGTCTGAAAGTAATTTTATACATTATTTTAAATAATTTTGTGCATGAAGTTTTGACTGCCATCCGTCACAAGGTCAGGTGTGGAATTTTCAACTTGTGGTGTCAAGTTGGCTTTCAAGCATTTTTGGATATTGAAGCATTTTAGATTTTCAGAATAGAAATGTTCAAGCTATGCTGCATTCTAAAAATGTCCTACTTATTTAAGATAAAGCAATTACTCTTTCTGTATTTCTGTATGTCAGCAAATTATTCCACTTATACCTTATTCCAAAGTCTCCTGATTTCCACACTTACTTTTCCAGTTCCTCCTGTGAGTGTGCAAACGTACAGCTGGCCCCACGAGGGCATCCTCCTCTCTGCTTCATATCTCGACACATGTATGTTTTGTATTTGCTATGCTGTGGAGGCTAAAACCAAAATCAAAATATTAGATGTGTAATAACCCCCCACAAAAAAATACAAATTTTGTGTTGTCATTTTAGGATTTTGATAATCTAGATAAGTAATTCACATATTTATTTAGATTACCAAGAGCAAAAGTGCTGGAAAGTCATTCCGTCTGAAGTTTCAAAGTCCAAATATAAATAAAGCAAAAAGAAGGTAGTCCTAATTTTTCTGATATGTTGATATTAATTCTCAAACAAGTAGCATCATATAAATTCTTGAATAAATTTCATGGGCATTCTTACACTTGTTTTACATGGAAAAAGAAAAATCTCATGGGGGCACTATGATCTCATTTCCACTTTTTTTTTTGAGATGGAGTCTTACTCTGTTGCCCAGGCTGGAGTGCAGTGGCGCAATCTTGGCTCATTGCAACTTCCACCTTGCCAACTCAAGCGATTCTCCTGCTTCAGTCTCCCGAGTAGCTGGGATTACAGGTGTCCACCACCGCACCTGGCTAATTTTTGTATTTTCAGTAGAGACAGGGTTTCACCATGTTGGCCAGGCTGGTCTCGAACTCCTGACCTCAGGTGATCCGCCTGCCTCGGCCTCCCAAAGTGCTTGGGATTACAGGCGTGAGCTACTGTGCCCAGCCCATTTCCACATTTTATAATGAAAAAACAAACCACTGTAGTTTAAGACTTTCAAATATATAAATTATCTTCTAATATTTGTTTTGTACAATGTTCAATATAGCTATATGTATGCTTCCTTACAACACACCACAAAAACTACAAAAGGCCCTATAATCAAAGAATATCCTGTAACTAATTCTTCTTGACACACAGAATAATATACCAAGGACTTAAAATATCTCCAGAAGTACAAATGACATATATTATCTACAACTCAAGGATAAGGCAAGAGGATGGATTTGAAAGTTAATGAAATATGAGACACAACACTGAACTGGACAAAATTTAGTGTATTTTATCACCATACGGCAGACTTTAAAGGTTAATCTCATTACGTTTGTTATTTTCTTCAAGATGTCTAATGAAACAGAGAGTTAAAAATTGTAGGTTCGGCCGGGCGCGGTGGCTCAAGCCTGTAATCCCAGCACTTTGGGAGGCCGAGACGGGTGGATCACGAGGTCAGGAGATCGAGACCATCCTGGCTAACACGGTGAAACCCCGTCTCTACTAAAAAATACAAAAAACTAGCCGGGCGAGGTGGCGGGCGCCTGTAGTCCCAGCTACTCGGGAGGCTGAGGCAGGAGAATGGCGTGAACCCGGGAGGCGGAGCTTGCAGTGAGCCGAGATCCGGCCACTGCACTCCAGCCTGGGCGACAGAGCAAGACTCCGTCTCAAAAAAAAAAAAAAAAAAAAAAAAAAAAAAATTGTAGGTTCTCCTTTCTTTTATGTCTATTCATAAATAAAAGCTTTGACCTGTGTTAGATAGGTTAGGAAAATCATATCCAGATTATTTTACTTAGCAGGATACTTTTTATATTTCTTGCCTCTTAAGCAAAAAGGAATACTGAATAATCTATTGGTATTTACCTGAACCAGGTAAATTAAGAGTTTTAAGTTCACAGGCTTACTACCGCAAAATAAAAGATCTAATGAACCTAATATAAATCCTGAGAACAAAATAAAATTATTGGGAATAAAATTTAAAAATCTAGCTATAAGAAGTTATTATACTCTACTGTTGTATTTCATCTAAAAACTGTGAGGGAAAGTTGACCCACTGGTATAACAGACATTATGAATGAAAAAAATTTTTAATTTTAATAAGAAAATCTATAGAAATTTGAATAGTATTGAAAAGATACAGTATTAGCACTAAAAAGTGATACTTATTGTCAAACCAAAATGTAATACAAACTAAAGAGAATAATAATTTTATATAAAAGGAATAAACTTCAGCAGTGAATCTATTTTCTCCATCAAATGCTGCCATATCCAATGTGAAGACTGACCCCAGCATGATATCAGATCAGTAAGGATTATTTAATGTCAATATTGTCAGATAAAATTACCAGCCTAATGCGGTAAACTGTTAGCCATGCCAAGGTAATTTATAGCTTCTATAGTCAGAGTCTCAAAATATTCATGTCATCTTTTTGGCTTTGCATCTGTGGGTATACCCACAGTGGTTTACCTATAGTTTTAAGGCATATCCACAGTGGATTAACTCTAGGTTTTAAACAGCTTCCTTACCTGCTGCTGATCTGCTCCTTTTTTGCTGTGGTTCTGGATATAATCAACCAGCCCATGTACCACTGTACGCACAGCAACCAGCCCATTTTCCAGCTGTTCCCAAGTAGGAGGAGGAGCATCTATACAACCAATAAATAATAATGTTTTAAACTCTAATGTTACTCAATATTTTCCCTAATATCAAATTAATAAAAGTTAGTTGACAACATTTCAGTGAAATCAAGTTTCACACCTTAACTTTTCAGATAATAGCTTATTCACCTAACCATCATTTTAAAGGAATGGACATATTCTTTCAAAGCTGGGGTTGCAAACTGAAATAACCACAGGAACAAGAAAGGTAACAAGAAAGAGGTAAATAGGCCACATAATAGTGGTAACTGTCATTAGACTCTTAGGGTTGAGGAGACAACAGCGAGTGACAGGGACTGCTGAACTGGAGAGTGTGTCCCTCATCTAAGAGTATGGTTATAACTCAGCTTTAGATGATTGTTGTTATGTGACAATGCAAGGCTGGCACTGCCAAATACATTCACTGTTTCCCAGGGAAACCTGAAAGTTAAGATTTTTAAGTAAAAATTTTTCAGTTTTAAAATGTTGGCATCTAAGAAATTTAGACCATTGCTCAGACCAACACTGTGTGGACTAAACAACACTGAGGAGTGCCTGTAGTCAGTCAATTTGCATGTTTATTTTGAACTTTTATATAAATCAAGTTTTGGTAAACAAAAAGCTTAAAAAGTTTAATAAGCCAGGCACAGTGGCTCAGGCCTGTAATCTCAGCACTTTAGGAGGCCGAGGTAGGAGGATCACGAGATCAAGAGATCGAGACCATCCTGTCCAACATGAAAAAAAACCCCTTCTCTACTAAAAATACAAAAATTACCCAGGCATGGTGGCATGGGCCTACAGTCCCAGTTACTTGGGAGGCTGAGGCAGGAGAATTGCTTGAACCTGGGAGGCGGAGGTTGCAGTGAGCCGAGATTACGCCACTGCACTCCATCCTGGTGACAGAGAGAAACTCCATCTCAAGAAAAAAAAAAAAAAAATTTAATAGAAGAGCTATTATATAAAGTAACTCTGCTACATGTCTTCTTCATTTAGTAGGTATTTGCCCTGTGCCAGCACTTTGATTTATAAAAGAAAAATTAACTATAAGGCTAAATATAAAATATTCTTTAAAAGAAATACATAAAATGAAACAAGAAGAGAGATGTGGAGATAACTTCCTGCTCAGACATCCTGAAAGAATTCTAGGGGATGGCATTTGAACTGGGCTTTGAAGGACACATGGAATCTGAAAAGGAAAAAAGGTAAAGAGAACAAGTATTCAAAAAAGTAGTTTTTGGAACACTTGCTAAATCTGAGTTATTGTTCTAGTTGTTGGGTAAGCAATAGTGATTAAAACAAAAATCCCCATTATATGCAAGGAGAAGAGCCAGATAATAACCAAGACAAATAAGCAAAATATACAGTAGTATTTAGATAACGTTGAATTGAAAAAATAGAACTAAGAAAAGTGGGGCCAATGTGTAAAATTTTAGACAGAGGCAATCTGCTTGTCGTGGCCTCCCAAAGTGCTAAGATTACAGGCGTGAGCCACTGCACTCTATTAAAAATACAAAAAAAATTAGCTGGGCATGGTGGCACATGCCTGTAGTTCCAGCTACTCGGGAAGCTGAGGCAGGAGAATCACTTCAACCTGGGAGGCGGAAGTTGCAGTGAGCTGAGATCGCACCACTGCACTCCAGCCTGGTCAATAGAGGGAGACTCTGTCTCAAAAGAAAAAAAAAATATTTAGACAGAGGCCAGAAAAGTCCTCCTTGAGAAGGTTACATTTGATTAAAGACCTGAAAGAAGGGCTTAAGTGTGCCTACTGGAGATATTAGGGGGAAAATATCCAAGTTAGAGGGAAGAATAAGTGCAAAGTCCTTAATGTGAGAAGTGTGCCCGGCATGTTGCATGGAGATAGAACCAGAGAAGAGGAAATTAAGAGAAAAAAAGGGTAGGAAATGAGGTTTGAGAGAGGTAATGGAAGACCAGACCACACGAGACCCTATAGATCATGGGAAAGATTTTGGCTTTTACTCTGAGTGACAGAAAGCCACAGGAGAATTTATGAGCAGAGGGTGACAGGGTCACTCTGGCTCTTTTGCTAAAATCAGTTAGACAACAGGAGGCTATTCCATAATCTCCTGAGAGATGGCAATGGTAGCAGTGAAGGTAGATGGATTCTGGATGGATTTTAAAGGTAGGGCCTACAGAATTTGCTAACGGATCAGATATACATTATGAGAGAAAGAAGAGTTGAGATTTTTGGACTAAGCAACTGGAAGGATAGAGTTGCCACAAACAGGATGGCAGGGAAGAGCTCATTTTTAGATAGATTCAGTTTGAAACGCTTATCAGATATAAGATGATGGATGCTGAGAAAGCATTTTTTTTTTCTTTTTTTTTTTACGGAGTCTTGTTCTGTCAGCAGGCTAGAGTGCAGTGGCACGATCTCGGCTCACTGCAACCTCCACCTTCTGGGTTCAAGCAATTCTCCTGTCTCAGCCTCCCAAGCAGCTGGGACTACAGGGGCCCGCCACCACGCCCAACTAGTTTTTGTATTTTTAGTAGAGATGGGGTTTCACCATGTTGGCCAGGATGGTCTCAATGTCTTGACCTTATGATCCGCCCACCTCAGCCTCCCAAAGTGTTGGGATTACAGGCGTGAGCCACTGCACCTGGCCGAGAAAGCAGTTTTATATGCAAGTTCAGGAAAAAGGCATGGGCTGGATATATATTTCAAACTCTAAAAGACTATCAACTGTAATGCATATTACTTTATGTGCCACCAAAGAAAAAAAAAGATTGTTAATTATAATACGTCTTCACACAAATGCATTCCAATTTCAGAAATGCTAAGATCTGAAATAATTATGAACCTCAAAACTGATAAAAATACAGTAAATTTGTGAGTTATATAAATTATATTTGAAGCTATGAGATAGATAAGATTATCTAGGAAACAGGTATAAGATTAAACTCTGAGAACACTCCAAAGAGTACAGGATACGGAGACGAGAAAGCAGAGGATGCTGAGGAGAGTCCAATAAAGTAAGAAGAGAATTAGTAACTTAGAAGTCAAGAAAAAAGCATTTCAAGGAAGAGAGAGTATAGAACAATGGCCAGGCACGGTGGCTCATGCCTGTAATCCTAGCACTTTGGGAAGCCGAGGCAGGCGGGTCACCTGAGGTCAGGAGTTTGAGAACAGCCTGGCCAACACGGTGAAGCCATGTTTCTATTAAAGATACTAAAAATAAAAATAAATAATGATAACAAATTAGCTGGATGTGGTGGTGCAGGCCTGTAATCCTAGCTACACGGGACAAAAATTGCTTGAACCTGGGAGGCAGAGGTTGCAGTGAAGCGAGATCTTGCCATCGCACTCCAGCTTGGGGGACAGAGTGAAACTGTGTCTCCAAAAATAAATAAATAAAATGTTAAATGCTGCTAAATCAAGTACAGTAAGAACTGAGAGCTGACCTTTGGAATTAGCTACATGGAAGTAGTTTACAACCTTGACAAAATAAGTTTGGATAGAGCAGTGGAGATAAATGCCTGACTGGAGTTGAGTTCAAGAGAGTGCCAAAACAAGAAATGAAGTGGTAGGTAGATGAGAAACGGGGTCAAAAATGGATTAGGAACTTGTGGAAGTTCTCTTTTGACTGCTCAGGATGATCAAAGCACAGCAGTGGGGGGGGAAAATCACTATATATTCTAGTAACATTGATCTGGTTTACTAAGCAATTTTGGGAGTAAACCTATAAAAGTAGGCTGATAAAAAACTAAGAGGGCTCTGAATGCCATAGTCATCAGTGTCAAACCTTATTCCGTGAGCAATTCTACAAACAATGAAAATTTATGAGTGTGGAAGCAAGATCAAGGATGTGATTTCTTTTATAGCAGTAAGTAGACTGGATTGGAGGAATTCATAGTAGAGGAACTTGTAAGACATTCAGTCTCAGGGAAAAGGAGGCTCTCAAAGGAAGTAATCATAAGCAGACGATATAGGGACATTGTGAAAGAAGAACAGATAAATCCTATTGTATGAAATGGTATGTAAAACAAGTGAAAGGAAAAGATGAGGCAAGACAAAATATTAAGGTTTTAAACTTACATACCTCAGAGAATGAGGTCATTATCAGAAAGAGGAAACATTAGAGGAAGAGCAAGTATCAAGTAATGATGAGCTTGCTTTGAAGCACTCAGAGGAGATGACGGAAAATCTCAGCAAGCATTGGGAGATGTATCCGGAATGGATGCAGAGACAATAGTGACAGATATTTGGGAGTCTGTATTCTACACGAAAGTAATACCTGCTGCTAAGAATGAATAACCACCATCAGAGCATGTAGAGAAAACAAAATCCCAAGAGCATAACCTGCCTACTCTTTAGTAGGCAGGAGGGGAAAGCATGGTACAAATATGACCGAAGTAGCACTCAGGTCAGAAGAGAACTATGAGATCACAGAAAGATATCAAAAAAGTGCTCAACAACATTATCCAAATGCTGAAAACAAATGGGAGTGATTTAAAGACTAAGACAAAGTTTTTGGAATCAGAGACTGGGAACCTACCAGCAAATATTAAGAGAGCTTCAGATCAGTAGTAGGAATAAACACAGAGAAGCTAAAATATCTTAGATGTAAATATAAGGTGAAAAATGAAGGTTGGGTACATTTTCAGCTTAACAAGAAGGAGCAGAAAAAGCCTAAGTAAACATATACAAGAGAGGATACTTGAAGGAACAAGATATCATGGTGAGGGCAAAAACAGGATCAAGGAAATGCAACTAAGGATACATAATACAGGAAAAAAAATGAGAAAAATGAGATTTGGAAGAGGTAAGAATGGTAAAATACAACACAATTTTGTGATAGGAGAAAGAAGAAACATAAAGAAGCCCAGAGAGATCTATTTTCCTGACGAAATGAGCAACAGTGTAAAAAGTATTAAATAAATATTAAAGTGAACTAACCTGAGATAAAGAGGGAAAATATTTAAAATGGAAACTTAAAATACTGTAAAAAAGATCTGGAGTAACTACTTTAGGAAACCCTAGAGGAAGAACAAAAGATAATGAAAGAATCACTGAGCAGCATGAAAGGCACATATAAGACAGTTCATTAATTTCCCATGGGTTTACCTGGACTAGGGTCAATGTTTGCTAACAGCTCCAAATGGGGTCTTAGTCGGTTCAAGTTTGCTGGGTCTCCAGTCCGCTGGAGAGCAATTGTTAGTTCCTGAACACTCTGTGCAAAAGAGGCTGGGGTCTGCAACTTAAAAAAGATAAATGTTAACTTTCCCAAAGGTCGGATAATCTTTTAAATATAAAGATTATTAATATCACAATCATTTTTACAATTTATTAAATTTAATTTTTATCTTCCCATACACTCTACACTCTGGGCAGATTAGATTACTTGCTACCTAAATAAATTCTCTACTTCTCTGCATCTAGAGCTTGGCACATTGTGTACTGTATTGCCTCTGCTGTCACATTCTTTAAATGTGAGACCTCTCTCAATTCAGCCTCCCATCAGTTAGATACATTGATGAGTCATCTTTGTGAATTGTTAATTCCTGTTTCTCTCTCCATTAATTTACTAGAATTAGTGCTTTTCTCATCACTTTTAATAAATTCTCTTTTGTATTATCCAATATGGTAACCTTAGCAATATGTGGCTATTTAAATTTAAGTTAATTAAATAAAATAAAAATTTCAGTGTATCGGTTGCAAAAGTCACATTTCAAGTGCTTAATAGCCATGTGTGACTAGTGATCACCATATTGGACAGTGCATACACAGAACATTTTCATGATTACAGAAAGTTCTGTTGCTCTATGAAATATCACACACATCGCAAAGTTTACCAGTTTGTTGTACAAAGGTCTCTGGATATTAAATTTAAAGCACTGCGGGTGATGTGAGAAAATTATTGTAGGATATACACCTAGTTACCAGTTCAGTTCGGACAGGAAGATTAACCACCTTGTAGAATCTTTATAAAAGGCAAGCCAGGCCAGGCACAGTGGCTCACGCCTGTAATCCTAGCACTTTGGGAGGCTGTGGTGGGCAGATCACGAGGTCAGGAGTTCGACATCAGCCTGGCCAACATGGTGAATCCCCATCTTCACTAAAGATACAAAAAATTCGCTGGGTGTGGTAGCGCGTGCCTATAATCCCAGCTACTTGGGAGGCTGAGGCAGGAGAATCGCTTGAACCTGGGAGACAGAGATTGCAGTGAGCTGAGATAGTGCCACTGTACTCCAGCCTGGGTGACAGAGCAAGACTCTGTCTCAAAAAAAAAAAAGAAAAAAGCAAACCAAGTTTCTCTTCAGAGGTAGAAAGGTACTCCTTTAATAGATCATTACTAAGCATTTCCATAAATTATAAATCAGTTGCAAAACTTCAGATACAAGCTCCTGTCCGAATCTAAGAGTTGCAGGTAAAGTCTGGTTAAAGGTATCCAGAGAAGACTTACAGGACAGAGCAAACAACCTACATTGTAACTAAAAATTATGTACCACCTTTTTATCCCCCTAAAGAGATAGGGTCTCACATAGCTCACTGCACCCTCAAACTCCTGAGCTCAAGGATTCTCCCACCACAGTCTCCCAACTAGGTGGGACTACAGGTGCCTACCACCACACCTGGCTATGGTTTTTTTTTTTTGGTAGCGATGAGTGTCCCAGTGTTTCCCAGGTTGTGCCCGAACTCCTGGCCTCAAGCAATCCTCCTACCTTGGCCTCTCAAAGTGCTGAGATTACAGGCATAAGCCACTGTGCCCACCCTACACCAGGCATTTAAAACACGTATTTCCCAATTCTCACTGTATTACCCATTCAAGGGATTCTATCTTTAGAAATAGAAAAAAAAAAGGAGTGGGGGGGGGGGGGGAATAGTTTGGTAAAAGGTTAGTGTATTCTACAGTGAGAATGCCCAAGTTCAAATCCACTTCTGTCATTTACTATCTATGTGATGCTGGAAAAACATATTAACTTCCCTTTGTCTTTGTCTAAAATGGATAATACAGGGCTGTTGAGAGGATTAAATGAATTATTTAAAACCACTAGATACATACTAAAATTTTAGTAAATGTTCATTTTTTTTTTTTTTAGGTTACTCTTACTATTTGACTCTATTTCTCTAAATTAAATGTAGAGTGGTCTCTAGAGTGGGCAATCATCTCTGTGATTCTAGTAAAAATAAAATAAAATATAAAATAAATAAAATTAAAAATATAAACTAATCATCTCTTTATATGAACAAAGTGGTATTATAATGTGATTGGTTATGACATGACACTGGCTATAACTACAATTTACAAAAGCTATACAGTATTCACTTTAATATACATTTGTTAAATGAATTACCAAGAGGCCAAGATTAGTCCAAGAAGTAAGGAACAAAAAAGGTTCTACCTTGTCAATAATGGACTGCATATGAGATTTGTGAGACTGGTCTCCATAAAGCAAAGAGGACCATTGGTCTGGTGCAATTCGTAAGCCTGCTTCCATAGCAATCTGCACTATCTGGGAGTCATGTTCTCGCCGCAGAGCTTCATAGGTTCTAAATTCTTCTTTCAGCTGCATCAAAGAAGAGTCTTCATCACGTTTGGTGACCTAATAAGACACAAATAATCTCATAATGAAGTCAAAAAAATTAGTTTATGCTTTATATGAACACATAATTTTTAATGTAACAATTTTAGCAGCAACAAGAAGATTAAATGAATATACCATCTGCCTGCAAAATATTTTCTCCTCAACTTGTTGAGGTAGGTATACTGTTATCATCCCATTCTAAGTCAAGTTGGATTTAGGCCAACATTTTCTGGATAGGTCTTTCAGAAAGAATAAATACAGGCTGAAAATCTCTTATCCAAAATGCCTGGGCCAGAAGTGTTATCAGACTTCAGATTTTTTCAAATTTTGGAGTATCTGCATTAAACCACTTGAATATCCTTACTCTGAAAATCTGAAATGCTCCAATGAGCATGTGAGCATCATGTTGGTGTTCAAAAAGTTTTGGATTTTGGATTTTTGTATAGTCAATCTGTATGTGCTGGAATGAAATCCAACGATTTGACAGACTTTAACATATACATGCAGTTTAAGGTGTGTATGTGTGTATATGCATTTTTTAAAAGAAAAAAACACTAATACGATTATATATTCTGAAAAACAATATGTTTCTTCTCCATAAATGTGGATTATGACTCTTGGGCTTGCCTGACAATGAGCTAGTTGGGATTGATGACTGCAGAGCTTCAGATGCTGGTTTAACTCTAAAAATGATTTAATTTGTACTTGGCTTAATTCTCCATGGAGTTTTGTGGGATGGGCTACTACCAGAAAGTGTAAAGTGTGAGATGCTAGACTAGAATAATCATAATGATTATGATTAAATAATATAATTTAGTAATAAAAATAGCTACCACGTTTTGAGCACCTGGCATGTGCCAGCCAATATATGAAATTATATTATTAACCATTATAGTACTGGATTAACTCATTGACTTCTCTTGTTGAGGTAGGTGTACTGTTATCACCCCAATAACTTACATTCTGAGTCAAGTTGGATTTAGGCCAAATGCTTAACAAATCAAAGCAAAATAATTAAGTCTAGCTTAAGATAACTACTACCCTAACATATTTCAGAACACATTTTGCCTTGTTAACCTTTTATTGCCATAAGGACTCATATTCTTCTTGTATATAATTCCTGTTTTTCTCCCTCTCACCAAAGAAACTACAAAATATTGTAATCAGGACTTCTAAGTCACACTGATATAAAATTAATGTGAGTGGTGGCATGTGCCTGTAGTCCAGCTACTGAGGCTGAGCGGAAGGATTGCTTAAGCCCAAGAGTTGAAGGCCAGCCTGGGCAACACGGCAAGACTCTATCGCTCAAAAAACAAATAAATAAATGCATTCTATTCTTATTACAAGGAAGAAAGTCTAACTTACTTTTTGTTAGGAACATCTATATAAGACCAAATTGATAAAAATCAAGAACTACAGTCACAAAAACTGAATATATTGTGCCATTATTAAAAGGCAAAAGACCAAATGCATATGTTTAGCACTCCCTCAATATATGCTGAACCTCATTAAAATGTAAAGTATGCTTTCTATATGTAACAATGGTTCCTTGAACTTGGCTCTCACCCTTCAATCTTTAACTAAAAACAATCAAGGATTTCCAAGAGATGAAATGTCTAAGTCTCAGAACTTTATTCTACTAAGAAAGAACAAATTATCTTGCAGCTCAAAAGCTTTTCCAATGGAAATACAGGAGACACTAAAAGGACACAGCCAGAATACAGCTGTATGGATACATATTCCTGCAAGGAAAATAATCATGACCTGAGTGAAAAAGCAGCTTTTTACAAATTTCCAATTTTCTTTATTCCTTTTTTTTTTTTTAGGTGGAGTCTTGCTCCATCACCCAGGCTAGAGTG